TTTACCCTTCTATGGCACCCACCAGAGCTACAGAGCTAAAAAAAAAAAAAGTGCTTTTAAGGATGATGATGCTTTCAAAGTATCAGTGCAATAAAAAATAATTAACCACAGTAGATTACAGCGTGTAAAACAGACTCTGATGAATTTTGGTCTCATACTATTCTACATTATTTGCTGCACTCCTGCTTGAAATATGGTAGCAGACTCTGACCTTTGAGCGCCCTCAGTGCAGATGTCCATATGCCAACAGTGTACAGAGAATGATTGCGCGGGCGCTGGCCATCCTTAAGGGTTGCTGTACCTAGAAAAAGAAATTCTCACCAATATGGCCCAAATTATTACAGCTTTATGATTTTAATTGGAAATACAAAGCATTCACCTGACTTCAAAAGGTTGCCTGAGTCTGTTTTAGTGCCTCTTTAAATTATTTGCTGTGTAAAATGCATAACTATAATTATCTTGTATTTTATGATCACTTGCCTGAGAATTCTATATGTGAGATTATTTGGTCAAGAGATTTTTCTTGGGATGTGCTTGTCTTATTTTTTTCTCACTGAATTCTCCTGTCACCTTTCTAGTTCTATAGTTCTTTATCTGTAGCTAATAACTCTTCATAAGAATGACTAAAGAACTACACAATGCTATTCAAGTACAGCACATACTTATGTTTTATTCTATGTCATGGCATTTTGATAGCAAGAGTAATAATAATGAATAACATTACACTAAATTTTTAGAACACATTTAATACATAAGGTGATTTAGCCCAGTTTAAAGTATCTTCTGACTTATGCATGTACATATAGACATAACATGTATAGAAGAGAAATGAAAACCCTTGTGCACACACACATTTCCTTCTATATTTTATATTTAGCCTCTTTGAGAAAGGACATCATAGGTATTCTATATTTGCAATAATATCCAATAATCTCTAGACTATGAAACCATGAATAATTTAACAAACTAATATTACAGGGAAGTAATTGCAGGGGGATTCTAGTAAGCTAAATTTAATTCAAACTTGGCAGTTCAAAGATAAAATCTCTTGCTTCCATGAAAAGTATAAATAGAATTATTTGTGTTGACAGGTGCTTTGGGTCTACCTGGCACTTCATCTCAAAGACTGAGATGCCCTAGAGGTGTCAGGAAGCCAATGTATCACAAAATCATAGTAGTCTTTATAGCTACTTTATCTCTAGAGGGTTAACAATATTAGCTCTCCCACATGTATAAGTCTTTCTTTCAGATGCACCTGGGAGCCATTATATTCCCACCTGAAGAGGAAAGTTGATGAATATGGCAAACTTATTTCTAAAATCATTGTGATTGTGGCTCCTAATGCCTTCCAAATGGTTACCACTCATTCTGCCCTCAGTCTGTGGATTGCTGTCTTGCTCTTTTACCTACTGTGCTCATTCTTGTCAAATGTCTTAGTGCCCTATGTTTCTGGGAAGTCCTGTCATGGCTTATTTTGGATATCGAGCTGTCACTAAAAGACCCAATCCATAAATTTGCAAATACTTTAAAAAACAACTCTGTTGTATGGTCATCACGGGTAAGGAAAAGGCATTTCTTAGGGACTTTTACAAATCATGGGGTACAAACAGTTCTTCATTTCTCTTGAAAGAGAAGGAAGAAATGTTTTCTCCTGTAGTTACATCCATAAACTCATAAAAACATAGAATTTGTGCTTGTTTCTCTTCAAGTAAGAGCTTGACATTCAAGCTCAAATCTATGTTCCCTAAACATTGAAGACAGTATATGACAGCCTTCACAGTAGGTGACAAGAATAAGAATTTTGAAAGTTCTAGTGTTGTCAATGCCTCCCTGGTTTCAAAGATGTTAATTTGATAACTAAAGTGGAAAGGACTCAACAAGATTCAAATGGAAAATTATCTTATTAGATGCCCATTAAATGCCAGAAATTATCCCAGGGACACTGTGGTTTAAAAAAAATGTGCTCCCTTCCCTGCTGTAATTGTGCTTTCATCATGCTAATACATTATGTACTTGAAATTCATATAGGTTTAATTTCAATTATAAAATCATAACATTTTAAAATTTTAAATTAATTATAAAATTATAAAGTTTGCTGTATATTGAAGCTTTATAGAGAAGAGGAAAGAAAAATGGTCTGTAAGATAGAGCAGAGCATTGCATTTTTTGGAAAAGGCATTTTTTTATTTCTCTTTACCTAGCAAAGGATCACCTCATTGGTACCCAGGCTCTGTAATCTGTTTTCACTCCTGGACCAGTCATGGGAACACCATCAGTTGTCAAAAGAAGATGTTTTGATAATACAGAAAGTAATTAGATGTGCATGTCTTACCATAATTTAAGGAAGCGAATCAACTTTCTAGTCACTACATATTCAGGTGTCTTGCTATATAGTCATGAAAAAAACAAGATACTAAATCACAAAATTGTTTCCATGGCTTGGAAAACCTGCCCCTGTGTACAGTGCTTGAACAGATCCTAAAATACATGATACAGGTTCCACATTTAGGATCCAAAGTATTATACAAAACCAAGTTCTATTTTGTGAAATAAAGCAGTTTCTTAACTGCCATAAGTTTGGTTGTCTATAACCACCTGTCTAAATCCTTACAATTTTTATTTTAATAAAGCTGAAGAGACTATTTCTTCATTTACAGTCTTATGGTCTTCAATGATTTATCATAAAAAGGAATTTAAATCAATATGATTGACACTAAACAATTGAAAATTATTGATGGGAAAATTTAATTTTTCATTATAAAATAATATGTAATAAAAGTTTTAGTCAAATTTTGTTTATAATATCAAGTTAAAAATGCATTCTATGGCTTATACTATACTTTGTAGTCTTCATTTTAATGATATTAAAAATCCTGGAAAGTAGTTGTGTGGTTTATTTTTGTGAAAATTTGTGTTCTCTGTAATGTTTTTGTTCACTGGAGCAAAAGTGCTTTAAAGGAAAGTACCTTCCTCAGTTGACAGAATTCCTTTTCTTTCTTTACTAAGGTTAATATGAAATTTTTGTACATGGTGTGACTGATGGGTAGCAGTGAAAGATAGTCTCCACCCTGTCTTGTTTCTTTAGAAAGTCGTAAGATGGCCTTATTCATGTATTGTCATTGCCTTAGCTTTGCACTTTAGCGCCACCTGGTGGAAAAAATATCGTTTGTTTTTCCCTTCGGTTTAGTTAGCCCCTTCACACTCTGCATCCCATTATGCGGTATCTTAATAGATATTAAATCATTTAATACAATTAAATAATTGCAAATGTATCTAATCTTAAAGACAGTTGTAAATAAAGTAAGGTGCAAAGATCTGCTAGATTTCCTAAGTGAAGTCGCTCAGTCGTGTCCGACTCTTTGTGACCCCGTGGACTGTAGCCCACCAGGCTCCTCCGTCCATGGGATTCTCCAGGCAAGAGTACTGGAGTGGGTTGCCATTTCCTTCTCCAGGGTATCTTCCCAACCCAGGGATCGAACCCAGGTCTCCTGCACTGCAGGCAGATTCTTACCATCTGAGCTATGAGGGAAGAATGAGAAGGACTCAATTCAACTCAAGGTTTTGAAGATGGAGAGAAGGTCCATAACCTAAGAAATATGGCAGTTCCAGGAGCTAAGATTGACCCCCCAGTTGACACCAACATGAAAGCAGGACCACAGTCATAGAACCACCAAGAACTGAATTCTGCCAATAGCCGTGAAGCAGAGTCATCCCCAGACTCTCCATAAAGGAATGCCGGCCTTGCTGACACNGCCACCAGGGAAGCCCCTAAATACTATACTATTGCCAAGTTAAATACCTATGTTTCTTTAAATGTCATAAATTTGAATAGTATGTTACATATCTATGAAAAATGTGGAAATTATTGATAATTCAATTAGTTATAATTTGCACTTTTTAATAAAGAATTAAATAAGGAAGTTTTCTGTACTTTAGTAGCAAAACAATTGCTTAAGTTAGATTGTCTACCAAAAAAGCAGTGTAATCACTTCATGAAGAAATTTCATACTATAAATTCTTTTCTTTTTTTGCCCTCTCTCAGCTTGCAGGATCTTGTTTCCCCAACCTGGGATTGAACTCTCTCTCTCGTAGTGAAAGTGCAAAGTTCTAACTGCTGCACCGCCAGGGACCCTACAGACTCTTATCATGTTAATACTTTGTGTATAGTTAAAGTGAAAACTAGTACTTTAGCCATTACTGCAGCAAAGCAGGACACTTTCATGCTCATTTTGCCACTTATAATTAAGATTCAGTTGTGGGCTTATTTGAACTTGTTCTTAGTTTTTGATAGTTTTTGCAATTTTTCAGAAGTTAAATTTAAGAGTATTTTCAAATGAAAAACACAAATATATTTGAACCCAGTTTTGAAAAATGTAAGCATATTAATCTCTTTGTGTAGTCCTATGTTTCTATGAAATACAGTGAATTTTCTCCTTATATAATACAGTTGAAGGTGAAAATAAACCCTAGGTGTTATACGGTTCCTTTGGCATATACTGCTTATATGGGGCTTCACCAGGGGCTCAGTGGTAAAGAATCCATCTACAATACAGGAGCCGCAGGAGATGCAGGCTGTATCCCTATGTCGTGAAGATTCCCTGGAGGAGGGCAGGGCAGCCCCCTCCAGTATTCTTTCCTGGAGAATTCCATGGACAGAGGAGCCTGGCAGGCCACACACCACAGGGCTGCAAAGAGTCGGACACAACTGGAGCGACTTATCATGCACCCAAGCACTTATCTATTCCCTGGTAAAATTCAGAGTTTTATAGATTTGAATCTTGTGACATCCAAAGGCTTAATAATAACGAAACTAAATAAGAATTGTTGATATTTAAATAGGAAATATGTTCTAACTGTATAATTTATGGTATTTCATTTAAGATAAAATTATAATACGTAACCTTCACTAAGACTTGCATCTTGTACTGAAGTTATTTGCTTTGCTGCTTCGAGAGAATATTTGAACTCTTCTGTCTCTCTTTTGTTCCTTTCCTTTAAAGGTCTTGGATGGTACACTGTAAACTCAGCATATGGAGATACCATTATCATGCCTTGCCGAGTTGATGTACCTCAGAATCTCATGTTTGGCAAATGGAAATATGTAAGTGTGATCTATCTAGGACTTGGTTAGTTGCCTCTAGTCTTTTAAAGAAAAGTCTAGTCTTTTAAAGAAAATTCTAGTCCTTTAAAGAAAATGAGTAAATGTGAATTTCAAATAACATAATGGTAATATTCAACTGTGGGTATAAATGTAAGAAGATGAAATTAATGTGTTGAGTATATCAAAAGAGTAATTCCTTACATAACAAATGCTATTTTAAAATAAAGCCAATAAACAGATAATTCTTAGCTCAAATTAGTCTGAAAGAGTCACCGTGAAGTGCTCAAAGCAAAAGAAATGGCAGAATTCCAGAATAAACTCAGGGAGTATAGGACAGAGCTTAGAGGAAAATGGTTGCCATTCTCTACATACTCATCTTTTGTTTGGTGTGGTTACTTGGAAATATGTAAGTGTGATCTATCTAGGACTTGGTTAGTTGCCTCTAGTCTTTTAAAGAAAAGTCTAGTCTTTTAAAGAAAATTCTAGTCCTTTAAAGAAAATGAGTAAATGTGAATTTCAAATAACATAATGGCCATATTCAACTGTGGGTATAAATGTAAGAAGATGAAATTAATGTGTTGAGTATATCAAAAGAATAATTCCATACATAACAAATGCTATTTTAAAATAAAGACAATAAACAGATAATTCTTAGCTCAAATTAGTCTGAAAGAGTCACCGTGAAGTGCTCAAAGCAAAAGAAATGGCAGAATTCCAGAATAAACTCAGGGAGTATAGGACAGAGCTTAGAGGAAAATGGTTGCCATTCTCTACATACTCATCTTTTGTTTGGTGTGGTTACTTTAGAGGCAAGATGTACCGGGAACCAGAGCATTCAAATGTCCACTGAAAACTAGTCATCAGTATTAGAAGCCTGTTTCTGGTACTTGGTCTTACAACTCAGTTGATGTGGTAGCTTCTTTTAAAATTTAGCATTGCTGATTTTATTCATTTTTTCAGTTCGGTTTAGTCGTTCAGTCATGTCTGACTCTTTGCAACCCATGGACACCACGTCAGGCTCCCCGTCCATCACCAACTTACGGAGCTTGCTCAAACTCATGTCCATTGAATTGATGATGCCATCCAACCATCTCATTCATTCATTTTTTACAGATAGTAAAATCATATTTTCTCAGGTATTGAGGTACAGATAGGTTTGGAAATGCAGGGTAGCTATCCTAGTAGGTGAAGTGGAAAGGCTGGAAAACTTTGACCAATAAAATACCTCAATCTATTTCCCAAAACCAACAAAAAGTCTGTGTGGCACCATTTCCCAGTGCTAGATTACATAAGACACAGTAGTTTGCAAGTTTGAACAGAGGACATATGTTTCATTGAACACAATTGGCAAATTTTCCCTAGGTCCTTGAAATGTTAAAAGATATTTAAATAGGAAAAGGATTTGATGGTCCAATAATTTTTGAAAACTGTTTTATTACAATACTTCTTAGAGCCTTTCCTATATACAGCTACATGATGAATTGTCTGAGTTCATTCATTTCTTAGGTTTATTGAACCACACAACTTTTTCTCTCAGATATCTGCAAGAACAAATGTTCTACAGGATAGAAATGTGCATAGTTGCATCCAAGGGGTAGTGAAGCACAATCTCTTAAAGTACAGGTTCTGAAGTCAGACTGACATAACCTATCATGTACCGGCTATAGAATTCCGGACAAGTGAATTAATCCCCATTTTTCATGGGAAAAAAATGAGATGATAATGATAATCTTCCTTACAGTGTTGTGAAGGTTACATGAAGTAATTCATATAAGAATACTTACCTAGTACTTGGCACATGGTAATTGTGTGAAAAGTGTAAACTGTTGTGAGTGTGGTACCACTGAGTTCTAAACACAGTGTGTGATGGGGCAGGTGAAGGCAGAAGAAGGAGGTAAGGCGGCATACCACTTCCCTGTTCCCTCCTAATATCAAGCTCACCCTGGGTAATTTTTACCTATTTCTGGTTCTGTATAAAAATGGAAATACAAAGTTAAGGCCTATGAGGACAAAGTCTATTCACAATCCTAAAATCCCAAGGGTCTGGGAGGCTACCACCATTAGTGCTAACATAAATGGAATCCACTGGTGAAAAACTTCTGTGATTATCGACATTTCTGATGCCCAGGGAATACTTTTCACCTAAACTGCACTGGCACAGTGGCAGTGAAAACAAACAATAATGGCAGGTTTCAAACTGTTAATGAAATAAAAAGCTTCAGCAATAAACTGATGACTATATTTGAAGTGCCATATGCTCTGAAAGCAGTCTTGATTCCCTGATGCAGTGTACAACCTCTAATTTAATGTAGCCTGAAAGACAAAGAGCAGCTTTGGAAAGAGTGAAAGGGAGTGAACCTAGAGGAAAGATGGATTCATTCCTCTCTTACTGCATGGTAATCTCCCTGTGAGTGGAGATCATACCTCCCTGCACCCCACCCTACCCCACTCCCACTGCTTCTTCAGCAGCATCCACCTCTGTGCCTGGTACAGAAGAAGCATCTGAGGCTGTCAAGAGTGATATAATGTAGTCATAATGGAGCCAGGCGGTGAAGCTCCAGTCTTGGCCCTGCTGAGATACACTGGCTGGGGCCCTGGACCAGTTATTTAACCAACCTCTGTCTCCATTGTCTATAAATGAGGCCAGTATTATGTGTAATTTACAGGGTTGTTATGAATATTAAATCCATTAGTGCACGGGAAGCCCAAAGAAAGTCCCCTGGTTTATAGTTAAGTGCTCAAAATGTAATAACTGTCATTTCTTGCATGAGTGAACAACTATAGAAATTTAAGATACTGGTCTAACATGTTTTTCTCAATGAAGGAAGGATTTAGTACAAGGTTTGCGCTGTAAACCTGTAGCAATATTAAAAGATTTAAGGAGACTCTGTTACTGATGTATTCACATATTCAACCAACTGAGCCTTTTGGACTCCAGTTTTAGCTTTGTAATTGTCTTAGTCATCTTGGGCTACAATAACAAACTACCGCAGACTGGGAGTTTAAATAAACAGATGCTTATTTCTCAGAGTTCTGGAGGCTGAGCAGTCCAAAATCAAGGTGCCAGCCAATTCAGTTCTTGAAGGGGGCTCTATTCCCGACTTGCCAACACCAGCCACTTGCTATGCGCTCACAGGACCTCTTCTTTGTGTTTTCGTTGAGAGGAAGTGCTCATGCGTCTTCCTCTTCTTATAAGGGCGCTAATTCCATCATGAGGGTACCATCCCCAAGACCTCTTCTAAACCAAATCATCTCTTAAAGGCCCACCCTGGGGGTTAGGGCTTAGACATACAACTTTGGGAGGGTCTCAAGCCTTGAGTTCATAACAGTAGTAAATAATTTTTAAAATGTTACTTCTCTTAACACCTTGAAATTTGTCATACACTTTAAAATGTTTTATTATATTTTATTTTCTTCAAGACCTTGTGAGGTTAGTAGAAGAGCGTACACACATGTGTGTTCAGTTGCTCCGTCGTGTCCAATACTTTGCAACCCCATGGACTATAGCCCACCAGACTCCGCTGTCCATGGGATTCTCCAGGCTAGAATGCTGGAGTGGGTTGCCATGCCCTCCTCCAAGGGATATTCCCAACCCAGGGATGGAACCCACATCTCCTGTAGCTCCTGCATTGCAGGCAGATTCTTTACCACTAGTGCCACCTGGGAAGCCCCAAGTAGAAGAGAGATTGGCCCTTATTTTAGATTGTTGTTATTAAGAGAATGTTTGTGAGAGCAAAGGAAGAAATGAATTGTATGTCTCAGTGCTCTTGGCATAAGTGTATATGCCAGATTATATTTTATTTTGATAATAAGTTTTTGTATGAAAACCCTCTGAGCTAAGTTTTATGACTCAGATAGCAAAACCATGGGTTTCAGTGATTAATTGGATTGTATTGCTTTAGTGGACATGATCCTTTTGCAAGGGCAAATATACTGTTCCTCCATGAAGATTCATTAAACTATGTTATATGTAAAAGTCAGCTCTGTCAGTTCTGACTGAAACTGAAAAGTGTGGGCACATAAAGTATACAGATTAAAGTAACGAGCATGCTAAAGATAATTGCTTAGGATTTCTAAATGAGTGTTTGCAGCTCAAGTGTATTATACTGTGATAGTTAGCTGAAAATCCTTTTGTAACATAACAGAAAACACGTTTGTTTTCACCTATTTTTCTTTTATATTAGACATAAGGCCAACCCTTGTCAATTTCAAAACAGATACCAATTCTGTCCTTCAGATGCAAGAAAAGATGGGATCCCTTAAGCTCCATCCTTTCATGTTTGTATACTTACTGATGCCTGTAAAAGAACTTAAAGCTTTTCCCTTATGAAGAGTGATCCTTTGTAACCAAAGATTTATGTGAGGCTCATATCCAAAATTACTCTTCTTGGACAGAACTACAAATTTTGATGGAATAACATGGCCAAGAAAATTTTGTTGCTCTGACTGTAATTCTGAAACGTCTAAATATGCCTGTTTTTTAATGTATTGTTACTTTAACTTTTAGGAAAAGCCCGATGGCTCCCCAGTATTTATTGCCTTCAGGTCCTCCACAAAGAAAAGTGTGCAGTACGATGATGTACCAGAATACAAAGACAGATTGAGCCTCTCAGAAAACTACACTCTCTCTATCAGTAATGCAAGGATCAGTGATGAAAAGAGATTTGTGTGCATGCTAGTAACTGAGGACGACGTGTTTGAGGCTCCTACAGTAGTCAAGGTGTTCAGTAAGTAGTCCGAGTGTAACTGCTAAGTGGGATTGATGATCGGTCCTAGAAAATGTTCTTTAGAAAGAAGGCTGAACTCTCTGTGGTGTCTCCACAGCAGGTATCATGTAAGAGGACTTCTTGAGAGCTTCGTTCTGCTCATGCATGCTGTCAGTGAGAAAAACAAAAACCTGAAATTCAGATAAGAATTTTATCTAGCAAAGAAGCAGAATATCATTTTATTTGCAGTGAGGGAATAAAAGAATATTCTGTTATTTTGTTGGATAAAATTTCCTGTGATACGAAGTGCTGTTAAATAAAAACTAGCCTATGAAGTTTTACTTTCACTGACATGCACAAGTAAATGTTATGTGATAGATACTAATACATAGATACATCATATTGGGTTGGCCAGAAAGTTCATCGGGATTTTCTGTACAAAGTTATGGAAAAATTTGAACATTTTTGATATACATATTCATGCATATCAATGCATCCATAAATATGCATTAGGCTAAACCATATAAAATTGCTATTTTGATGTATAACAATAACAAAATGCAAGCAGGAGACGTAAGTTTTCTGTATATGTATATGTATATGTGTGTACACACACACATTCTGACCTTAAGCACTTAATGCTTGTTGATTTACGTTCTGAGAGTGTTCAAGTGGTTTAGAGAATTGCCCTAAAATAAAGCAGTTCACCACTTCTTTATGTGGTGTATGTGGTGTATGTGGAATCCATTGGGGGGTGGGGAAAGTAGAGTAGGATTGGAAGAAGAGAAAGTTGTAAAGAAGCTTGGAATAATTACTGTAGGTTACTTTGGCTAATGATACTATGTAGTTAATGTGAGGGTGCAAATAGCTCTGCAAATAAATGACTTGAGAAGTTCTAATTAAAATGTTTTATCTTTTAATATTTAAATAAAATATCCCACCTTCATTACATCATAATATCTTAGAAATTACAGGGAGAAAAATAGGTCTCAAAGGTTTCAGAATGCCAGTCTTTTTTAATTAGGGAAGAAGGTCTCACTTTTTAGTTTTTTCCAGTTTTCTGTAGATTAAGTCACGTCACTCTAAAGGTTATGTGTATTGATGTCATTGTCACATTTCTTGTTATTGTGTTAAAATTACCAAATATCAAGACAGTTGAGAAAGAAGAGACAGTTGAGAAAGAAACAAGAAAGTTGAGAAAATCCAGGTTGTTCCATTTTCAGAATACAAATTTTAGAATATAATTTTTTAAATGCCCAGAAGTTCAGTTGGCTTAATTCAATAAAATTTGTAAGGGATATCTATGATTGTAAAAACAATCTCACACCCTGCATACCATCAGCACCCACTACCTACCCCCTTCTCTTTTGAATGTTGTTGAAAACAAAGTGATTCTCAGAAACAGAATTTGCATTCCAGGCTCTGGGCCAGGGAGAATTTAAATAGATGAGTTATACATTTTTGAAAATGGGGTTTTATACTAGAAACTGTGGGACCCTCCAAGTCCAATTAAATAAACAGCACAGCTCATGATAAAGAGTCTGCAAGAGCATATAGGGACTTTGCTTTTTTAAAAAATAATGAATTTACTTTGGATCGTTATTTGTGAAGCAAATAGCAGCTGTGACATGGAGGCTTTCATTCTGTGCATGTATATATTGCAGTCACTTAAGAGTTACTAGGCTCATCAATCAGCCCTCTGTTTCCTTCTGTCGAGTCACCTAGCAACATGCATTGTGTACCACAGAATGAGTATGGTTAACGTGAGCTAATCCCAAATCAGCTTGCTGCAGAATGTCCGCCTTGTAGGCAAAGTCAAACTGTTTTCGTTCAAACTAGAGGCCATGAGTGATGACTTTATTACTCTGATGAAGGTTTGTTTATTCAGTTCTAAGCTATATCTCTCATGCAAGAAATCATGCCAGTAAAGCAGACCAGATCCAAAATAAGTCTCGTGCTTTGTCACCACTAATAAGGCACTTTTGTTTGTTTGGTAGTTAAAATGGCACTAAAATCAGACTCTTTGCATTTAATGTACATTTGAAGTTAATAAAACTATCCCTTAGCAAGAGCAAACCTTTAAAAGTTCTCCCAAAGATTCATTGTTGTGATTGTGCAAAAGTCTTAGAGGTTGAATGCGTGCCCAGAGAGCCAAATGGCTGAATGGCTGTCAGCAGTATAATAGGAAAATCACTGAACTGGTCATCAGGACATCCAGCTTTGTTAGATCTGCTACAAATTTCTGACCTTGGACAAGTGACTTCCCCAGTCAGGGCAAGGGGTGCGAGTCTCTCCTCCTCTGTAAGTGAGTTTTCCCACTCTGTTCCTAGGATTCTCTTGAGGAGCTATTGAATAAGGCTGAGGAAAGTGAGGAGCAGCTTCTACTTGATTAACTAGAATTCTAGTCACTCAGTGTTTCAAAGTTTTTTCATGATATTTTATTCAGGGGAAAAAAAATGAAAGAAGGGCTTGAGCACTAAAAAGCCTTTGAAAATCACAATCCAGCCTAATCTTTGGCACTGGTGTGTGTGGTGTTAAAAGGAAGATTATTTCTGTGACTTGGAGTCTGGTATCTACCTGGACCAGCCAACTCTACTCCTAGTAATGGTTGACATCACAGTGTTATTTTAGAGCTTTTATTTGGACACTGCTCAATATTTATTGGAACTGAGCATCCCTCCTCAAACTCTCCCTGTGAAAATTATTCAACTGCAAGCCACTTCTTTTTTTTTAATGAAAGAAGCAGAAAATAACCCTTTCAACAAATAAGGTCTACCCTGTATATTTCATTTTGATCCTTTAAACGTAAAAAAAAAAAAAAATACCTCTTCCCATCTCATAAGGAAAATAAACTATAATTTCATGTTTATAATGATTACTTAAAGTAGATCAAGAGTGATTGTTGAGAAAGTACAGAGAGAAGCATCCTTGACTCACTGTAGCCAGTACACCTGCCTCTTGCCCTCTTCCCATGCCAAATTGAGCTGTCCTCTGTGTGGCTTTTGAGAATAACAAGTGCATTGTGGGTGATGTAGAGCAGTTTTGTGTTCATCGCTTCATCCTCACCTGGCTGTGAAACCCTTGACAAAATTATTTTAATAATGCTAATAAATTTGTGACATGACTTTTCCTTTCAATTCTATACTTAGTTATGAATCCATGAATCATATTAAGATGTAATTCACATAAAGCTTTTTTAATCACTTTGGAATCAATATGCAATTTTGCTAAAATAGTACACATCCTCTTTTATGGTCCTCTAACTGACACTCATCGATTGTTACACGCTGATATGAGAGAAAGTTACCTGCAAAATATGTATTTAATATGAAATGTTTGAAACAAAAGTTTGAGAAAATAACTTAAAGAAATGCAATTGGTATTAGCCTTACTTTCTCAATATTCAATATGACTCTCTCTTCTAAATAGAAAAATGAACAACTGTACAAAGAGAACTAAATTTTAAGTATCCTTTAATCAGGTTTCCCTGGGTTTGCTGCAGCTTTCTTTTATTGAAATAATAAATTTTAGAGAGTGTTTATGGAAACAAGCGCACATGGACATGTGGAAAAGACCAACAATTTGACCATACCAGTATTAACAGTTATACAGAGTTTATAAATTACAGTAGAGGAATACATTCTACATTAGAGGAAATATGTGTCTAACTGAGTTGTCATCTGATTTTCATGAACTAGACATTAGTGCAACCTAACAAAACTGCCCACCTGCACTTTCTATTAAAAATCTAATTTTTTAGAAGATCTTTTCAAATCTATATATATATTCCAGGCATAGATAGTAACTGAAGAGGAAACAAAACTATTTTGCTCTTTTTTTCTTGTTAAACTTGACTTTTAATCAACCACATAAATTAATTTAATATCTTACCTCTTTTGAACTCTGAGAGAGGTGTCACTGAGTAGCTGACTTTAGTTCCCAGAGAACTTTCACTTACTCAAACCCCAAGATTTTCATTCTGTTTAAATATTTTGGATGCAGCCCTATCGCAAAGGCATTGGACATTTGCCATTAAACATTGGATTCTGAACATAATTTAAGGTTTTATCAATAACTCAAGTTGTAATTATGAACATTAATGATTTTATTTTAAAATAGTGACAAAATTAAGACTTGCTGATGTGTAGAAGGCTACATATTTCCCAGAAATTGCTATTTATTTTGAGTATTTTTTCAGTTTTTCATAATTTTTGGTCACATTCTTAGCAGTCAGGTAGCCAGATCACTTCTTATTTGTGTTAATGTAATTGTTTGTTATTCTTTTCTATTTTTCTGTCTTTCTTTTACTTTTTAATCTTTCTTATATTTTCTTTTCAATTTGTGCATTTAGAATATAGATAATTGCTCTTCAGGAAGCTATATCAAGAAAATTATATTTCTAGAGTTAATAGTAAATAGGCCTTCTATAATTGAAGTGCAAGTTCAACACATAGGCAAATTCACTATTATTATTCATTGTTCTAATTTCTAATATAAAATAATTGCAAAGGGAAAATTAACTCTGGGTACTAACTTGAAGAAGATTACATTATTTTTGCCTGGAATCTTGGTGATACCCATTTTGCTGTTTCAAAGACTTTTTGTCTTCTTTCATGTTCCCTATAATGGTCTGGTTAGGTAATATGTGTCATAACTGAATTCCAAACTGAATAATAATAATAGAAAAGCGAGTTTAGTTTGGTAGTAAAACTACAGTGATGATAGACAGTGAGATTATGGAAGAAAAGATAGTTGGTTGTCTTTGTCTATTTATTTGAGAATAGAATATTTTTCCATGACACTAACAAAAATCAATGACAATGTGAGAAAATATCCATTTTCTATAGACTAATTGTTAAAGCTAATTAATAAGTTTAAAAATCCATCAATGATAGAAAACTAAAGGCTAGAATAAAATAAGTTTAAATAATACCATGTTGATCCAATTTGTAATCAGTTTTTCCCAAAGCCTCTATTAGAATATATGCTTATAGAGCTTCCTATATTGAAAATGCCTCTGTCCATTATCTTAGGTTCCAAATTTGAAAGATTTTCTCACATTTATAGTTTCATAATATAACTTCACTTAAAAGACAAGGTTTAAGATAATAGGAAACTTGAGCTTCTACATCCCTTAACCACTATATATTTCCCTTGATTTTAGAGCAGTGATTTTTAAACTATACTGTGCCCCAAAATACCCAATGGAACTTGTTTTAAAAGTAGGTTTACAGGATTTCCCCTAGATATTATGATTCAGTTGGCCTGGTAGAGCTCAGAAATCTGCATTTTAAATAAGTGCCCCTGTGATTCAAATTCATGTGAACTCTAGTTTTCATCTAAAGAGTTGGAAATTATTGGTAAGTAGAAAGTGCACATGGTAATCAACTGCAGATAATATATCCTCTTTAATACATTAACCTCTGTTACCATCTAAACCATACTCACTGTTTATAAAGCATCCAGAAAATGTTACCAATATTTTATTCACTGGAGTAATAAGTATTTAAAATAATATTTAATGTAATAAAGCAAATATCTGGAGTGGGTAGCTAACCAGATTTCTTAATTAGAGATTATATGGGAAAATTTTATTGTGTTGCTTCTTTTTCTACTTTGAGTAAATTAATTATTTTTCTGTAAACCAAATCACAAATATCCATTTTCTTCTTCCATGTGCACTTAAAATATTTCTCTGTTTAACTTTAGAGCAACCATCTAAACCTGAAATTGTAAGCAAAGCCCCATTTCTTGAGACAGACCAGCTTAAAAAGGTAAGAACTTGTTTTTGATTGATTGCCTTTCCTTAGCCTATTGTTGAATGCCTTTTCTTGTCCTCAGATGCCAGGACAAATAAGATAGACTTTGCTCTGTGGAGTTGACAGTGTTCCAGATACCAGTCAGAAAGTCTGCACAAGGTAGAAAGGAGACATAGAGGAAGGCGTGGTTATTTCTGAAGGGAGGAGAAAGAGATGAGAGTTTCTTTTTTAAAAAAGCGTAAGTCTTTCTTGTTTGAATGAACTGAATGTTTAATGAAGTCATGGCAGATGAGTACATTTTCTGCACAGCACAGACAGAAAAGGCTTTCCAACAATATGAAATAATACCATGTGAAAGGAAATGGCATGGTTGGGAAGCATATTATTTGCACTGCTGGAATTTGGGGTGCTCAGCCAGTGGGCAAGACAGTCCAGTAAGAGGTGAATCTCGAGAGTTAAGAGAGGCTGGATTATGACAAACCTTCTATCATGTATAATGTTTGGTCTCTATCTTACTGATAAACCATTGAAAAGTTGAAGAAAAGGGATAAGATCAGATTTGTACAATCATATTAGCGGAGATTTGAAGGAAGGACAAAACTGGAGTTCCATATGTGAGCATATCACTTGATTCATAATCTCACTTTCACTAATTAAAATAGCCCAAATTTCTTTTATTGTAGGAAAAAGCAAGTTCAAAATTCTTTGAATCAGATTAAAGTTGATTGCATAATATTATTTGATAAACATTAAATATTTAAAACTGGAGTAGGAAATGACAATCTATTCCATTTCCAGTACTCTTGCCTGGAGAATCCCATGGACAGAGGAGCCTGACGGGCTACAGTCCATAGGGTTGCAAAGAATTGCACATGGCTGAGCATGCACATGCATGCACAGACACACACACATATTACAAACACATGTGAAGTGCAGTGGTAAGGATTGCAGTTCATGGTAAGTACATGTCAGCTGAAACATAGCATGAAGCTGGAGAGGCAGCCTCGTTTTAACACCGTTAATGATTCTTTCAAATGCAGATCTGTCAACCATGGTAATAGCCAACGTTAATGCAGTTATGTTATTTAGTTAATGTTAAAAGTGAATACTGTTAAAATGAATTGGGTAATGCTTTTAAATGAATGTGATTTTATTAATGGTGGCAGCATCTACTGCGCATTTTAAAATGGGCAAGACTATAATTTTAAACACAAGACATTGTTTTTATGTAAGAGTGCATTCATTCAGTCCTTAGTTGGGACTTATAAAATGAATGGGTCAGGAAATCATTGGAGGAACTCTGCATCCCTTGAGGAGTCTGGGGCTTTCAAATGGACAACCCCTGATGAAACCAAGGTTGTAATATTTCCTCTCTATATTGCAGTTGGGTGAGTGCATTTCAAAAGACAGTTATCCAGATGGCAACATCACGTGGTACAGGAATGGAAAAGTTCTGCAGCCTCTTGAAGGAGGTGGGTAAGAAGTGGGCAATAAATCCAGGTGACCTGTTTTGCCTTTCTCTTGTCTAAGCATTCTTTAGACTATCCTGAGCCTAAATGCATTGCCCTCTCTTGATTTATGACTCTATATTCTTTGTTACTTAAGTATCCATTAAATCAGTAAGGGATTTTTTAAAACTTCATTTTAGACCTTGTGCAGAAGAATCAAGAGCAGAGAAAATTATTTCTGTATATGGCATGTTCTAGAAGTTAATTAAAGTGAGTGGGAGATAAAATTCCCAGGATTCTATTTCTGTCCATGTCTCTGATTCATGCTTTTGAAAAGACGTCTACCTCACTACATGTCAATTTTCCCTCCTGTTAAATGCAGTAAGAAGGACAAAACCACTTCTCAAAGTTGCTATGACAGTTAATTAAGGGCTGTGATTTTCCGATGAAAGATCCTACCATTAGTGTTCTTTATTTTCTTCAGCGGTGGTCATAATTTTTAGAAAGCAAATGGACCCAGTAACTCAGCTCTATACCATGACTTCATCCCTGGAGTACAAGACATCCAAGGCTGACATACAAATGCCATTCACCTGCTCTGTGACATATTATGGACCGTCTGGCCAGAAAACAGTTTACTCTGAACAAGCAGTTTTTGATATTTACTGTAAGTAACTCAATACAATTATACAACTTTAATGTATTAGAAAAAATGTTCCAGTGTTATTTTAAGTCCCAATTCAAAAGCTCTTTGGAATCTATTTCCAAACTCCCATCCCTATTCCATAGTACCTAAGTAATATCTTCCTCTTTGCAAGACCTGTAGAATAAATGCTCACCCATCTTATGATAGCTTTCAGTCTCTACTTTGTTATTTATAATCATCTCCTCTGTATTCTCTAACTTAGTCTGATTTCTTCTGTTAATTCTCCACCCTGGCACATAGTCATGGACTTTGTAGGAGTTCGGAATGCCACCTGATGGTTTTCTGAATGAATGACAGATGAATAGAGACTTATGACTGATTGGTTTTCTAGATATGGAATTTCCATTTTAATAAAGAGAAATATTTTAATAGTGCAATCAATTGTGTATGTTAGATAGAATGTTGAATTCCAAGGTATTTTGTTTAACTTTACACCACAGATTTTAAAACCTGGAATATTAGACTACAAAGGAACTTTCTTGATCATCTGATCTAAGTCCATTATTTTATTTAACAGCAAAATGAGACCCAGAGACTTGCCCTAAGTTAGCTTTAGCAACTGGATTAGAATCCTTTTCTCCAATGCTGTGTTCCTTCCTGTAAGATGGAAGTCAAGATAATATGATTTAGAGCAAAGATGCTGGCAATCCAGTTTTATTACTGTTAGTTACTATGTATTTCTAGAAAAGAAGCTTAACTACTTTGTCTGTTTTCATATTTTGAAATAGGACAAATATAATACTTAACTCATGGTGGTGTTATGGAGATTCAGTGAAATTAAAAATCTAAAATAGCACAACATGTAGCACATTAAATGCTTGTTAGTAAGTACTATTATCATTTTTACCTAATAAGCATATAAACAAGATATATTTCAGGGAATGATACAGAATATTTTACTATTTTTAATGAATTAGAAATTCCCATAATACTGTCATATGTTGTAGAATAACCTGATACTTCTATAACTATTTGAGAGAAAGGGTAGAAATGCCCATTAAACCTTCAAAGAGTTTTATCTCAGCTACATTTCTATTTGGGTTCCATAAAGTGCAGAATCTTATATAAAGAGCAAAACTGAAATTCCACTTGCTCTAACCATCATGAGATGTTTTGCCTTAAACTTTGTAAACAAGTTTCAACTTGATTTAAAGGCAAGGATTGAGAGGATTTCATCATGTACAGCTTATCTAAAATCAAACTATTATTTCTGTATGTGGAAGCAGAACTCTATTCAGAGATGTTCAATTGGAAATAAACTATCTTGGTGTAAGCACAGAAGTACAAGATAGGAAAGAACATCAAGATGAGTGAAAAGGATTGGAAAATTGGCTTAGGAAGGATAGAATATATGTGAATATCAGGCATGGAGACATAGATGGGCAGGAAAGTCCTTGGATGAATAAGAAGGAAATGATTTTACTGTGGCTGGCTGTGTGGAACACATTTGGCAGAGCTTTTGAGAAGGCACAGTGTATGCAGTGCTGGCCTTCAAAGGGAAGACCCCAAGGCGTTTAAGACATCGTCCTGACATTCAAGGGGTTTCTCCAATAGAGAAGATACGTGCATCGGAGGGAAATCGTCAGTGCAAGGTTGCAGCTGTAAGTGCCACAGAGACCCAGTGAAGAGACCTCAAAGTTCAGGTGTCCATGAGCGGTGATCCCCAGACTCAGTGTGCGTCAGAATCCCCGAAGGACTTGGTAGAATACAGACTACTGGGCCTGGCTCTGGAGTTGCTCATCCAGTAGGCATGAGACCCCGGTTTGACTCCTGCCGCAGGAGGATCCACTGGAGAAGGGATAGGCTGCCTGTGCCAGTATTCATGGGCTTCCCTGGTGGCTCAGCTGGTACTGCGATGCAGGAGACCTCGGTTACATCCCTGGGTTGGGAAGATGCGCTGGAGACAGAAACGGCTACTCACTCCAGTATTCTGGCCTGGAGAACTCCATGCACTGTATAGTCCATGGGGTCGCAAAGAGCTGGATACCACTGAGCGATTTTCATTGCTCCAGGATGACTTCAGAGAAGAGAAGGAGGAGCTAAATGAAAAGTACAGAAGTATACATTCAAGAAAAAGAAATGTGATCAATTCATCTGGAAAGTTTTATAGAACCTACCTCTTTCATCTGTGTATATCTGATTCACAGTATACCTCTTTCATCTGTGTGTATCTAATTGTGCCTTTTGACGCTGCCTAAGATTATGCCACCATTCCTCATTGCTGGTATTTCTGTAACAGCTTCAAAAATAGTTTTCCTGTCTATTCACCCGAAACTGCCCTGCAAGCTGCTGCCAGACATATCTTTCTAAAACACAAATGTGAACATGTTACTGCTGTGATGAAAACTCTTCAGCAACTCCCCAGATCATTCAGGGTAATCTTTACATTCTCAATTTCAAAATGCCTTGAGTCTCCTATAGCCGTGGTCCTTTCCTTTTCCAACCTTCACCACTTCACTGCCTTCTCTAATCTGTTCTATTTTCCAGATTCCTCCTGTATAATACTGTGTACATTTCTATTCATATGCTGTCATGCTGTCATCTTTATTATCCAGCAAACATCTTATTTTTCAAAACCTAGCTCTGGGGCCAACTCCTACTGGAAGCTTCCTCATCTGGTGAATCTATAAGCTACCAATGATTGCTATGCTTATGCATCTTAGGCAGTTTTAATATTGTTACAGTCTTAATTTATAAATTTGACATCATCATAAATAAACTGAGAGTTCACTTAGGGCAGGGAATTGCTGTTTTCAACTTTGTAACTCCAGCACTTTGTACTTGAACTAAACAAGTATTAACCAAATGAATGAACATAAGGTAAATGGAGAGATGAGAAAAAGAAAAACTGAGTAGACCCTTTTGGTTATTATGTAGGGGTATTTATGGAGTAGTGAGATATATGATTCTTACCCAAAGTAAGTTCAAAGCAGTTATGGATACCAGATTAAGAAATTTTTATTTCAATCTTTGGTTTTGGGGAATGCATGCTGCTGCTGCTGCTGCCAAGTCGCTTCAGTCGTGTCCGACTCTGTGTGACCCCATAGATGGCAGCCCACCAGGCTCCACCGTCCCTGGGATTCTCCAGGCAAGAACACTAGAGTGGGTTGCTATTTCCTTCTCCAATGCATGAAAGGGAAGTGTGAAAATGAAGTCGCTCAGTTGTGTCCGACTCTTAGCGACCCCATGGACTGCAGCCTACCAGCCTCCTCTGTCCATGGGATTTTCCAGGCAAGAGCACTGGAGTGGGGTGCCATTGCCTTCTCCAGGAATGCATGAAGACTTTAAAATATCATTGTAATAGTCAAAGCACTATTTCCAAAACTGATTTAGAGAAAATATGTATAAAGATGCAGAAAAGAAAAAGACTTACAGTGAGGAACTAAATGACGTTTAGTGGCAATGTTTCAGATGTAGATTAATTAGAGCCTTTACAAGGGAAGTGTTGGGAGAATAGAAGGGAAGAATCAAATGCAGAATATAAGGATTAGTCATTAAGATTGGGTGACTGAGTGGATAAGAGAGGGCAAAGGAGAAAGCTGGAGTAACTGGCAGACTGATGATTTACTAATAGAGTAAAATTCAAAGTCAAAGGGAGAGTATGAGATCATTAATTTTGTTGGACGCACATTAGTGGGCATTCAGAAAGCCACTGTTAGAACTCCAACGTGTTGCATTAACCCCCTGATCTCAGTCTAGATCAAACTCTTCAGTACAGAGCAGAGCCTATTGAAGAAGGGATACAGAGAAGCAGGGTTAAAATAAAGCAGAAAGTCAGATCGATTATGATTCCTAGCTGTTCTGGTGTCAGCTTTGGTCAGAGACGTGCTGCAGTGATGTGAGACAGACCAAACCAGGCAGAGAAGGGCCATGTGAATGAGTGAGGGAGGCCTAGAGGCGGAAGGCCAGCAGGGGACAAACTTTATTTACTTTCCCACTGCACTGAGAACTGGTCAGGGAACTACCTCAGGCAAATTCAGAAAAATGAAGAAGTATATTAAGTCAATTACTCTTTAGCCTCAGAACCTTCTAGGCAAATATTCAGAAATGCCCAAGCATGAAAAAAAGTCAGAGGCAATCTATAACAACCCTTCTGGGTTTCTTTTTGTTTTTTTTCCTGCCTTTAATCTTAGCAAGACAAGTAAGTGATTGCAAGAGATAGAAGAAAAAACAGCTTTAAAGTCTACCACTTATTCATCTCACTTTATTAGCTAATAGCAAAGTAAGTCTTCATAGATGGATTATTTTTAGTGCTGCCAGTTTGGAAATATAGACACATGCCTCAGTAGTTATTAAGCCTTGTGGAAAAGGCTCTCTAAAATAAACCTTTACATTATATGATTTCAAAATTCATTGTTTATTGTATTACCAGCTACATAACAAGTGAATATATTAGAAAGTGGGTCATTTATAACTGCCGAACACCACCTCCTTTGATTTCCTGTTGGGTAGATATGGTCCACTGTGCATCCAGCTTTTAATTCCTTTAGCATTCTACTGTTGAGCAGTAGCCTTGACCAAAGAATACCCTTTAGCCCTATTTTCTCCGTAAAAATGACCAAAATGGAATTTTAAGTTGCATCTTGGCTCCAATGAACAGAAAAGAATTACAAAACATTCACAGTTCTGTTGATTGTATTTTATTAAGGGTCTCCCTCTGTTCATGGGATTCATCTTTCTCAAAGCAAATCTGCTCTCCTGCATACCAAAAATCTTCCTGATATTATTTGGCTTATGTCCCTTTTTATTTAATATAAGATATTTTTGTGTAATATGAGTGTGGGCGTGCCTGATAGTTTTAGCTCTTTTTCTAGCAATCTTTCCAAACTGTAAGATATGTGTAATATAGTTAAATGTCCTTATAATGAGATTATACAATGAGATTGTTCCTACTGGTCTTTTACACATAAAATAATTATGGTCATTCCTATTTCAGGTAAAGACATTTTGCTAAGAAGAAATTGATTTTTATGTTAACAGAGCTTCTTTGTAGTTTGCTCTAACCAAGATTAGTACTTGTTATAGCAAGTAGCTATTAACTTCAGTCCTTCTATAAAAAGATACGTTTAAGTAATTGCCATTACTAGCTTCTTGAGAAAATTGTGTATAATTTAGTCACTTACATTATATGTACAAAGTAATTTGGTGCTTGATGAAATGGTTAACTTGTGTTTGTGACTCTTGCAGATCCTACAGAGCAGGTGACAATCCAAGTGCTGCCGTCAAAAAATGCCATCAAAGAAGGGGACAATATCACTCTTAAATGCCTAGGAAATGGTAACCCTCCTCCTGAGGAGTTTTTGTTTTACTTGCCAGTAAGTGATTCAGGATTTTTACTTGAGCTAGACTGCTATCATTCTGTCCTGTTGTTTGGCAGCTGGCTGACATTAAGAATTGTATGTTCTTGGGCCGCTTAAGTGAGAAAGGATGTTATTCTTGGAGACAACGGAAACCTGTGGAATGTCCTTTAAAAGTTTTTTGGCATATGCCGGTGCCTTTGCCTTTTTTTATTCAGTGTTAAGTGGAATCAGAGACAAAGAGGAGAAGAGCTGATCATAGGAAACCATCATGGTAGAAACCCAAAGTTTCATTATCCAAATAAACTGTAAGAATCTGCTCTTCTTAAGCAGACAAATATGAAATGTAGAATGATGATAGCAAATGGTTTGCTGTGGATTCTAAATCCACACAGAGGGTGTTCCTCAACATGTCCCTGAATTCCCAATATAGGGACACTTGTGTTGCCCATTATATTTAGCTTGATAGAGGAAAGCAGTGGGCTATATCTTGCCATCATACATGGTCATGAAGGGCCACTTTCTTAACTTTTATCAGTACTGGAACTGAAAGAAGTGATGTCTAGAGGATAATTTGGCTGTGTTCTAGATGTCATAGTGTTGAGGAGGCAGACTAGACGAGAGCTACGTCTGAGGACACTTGCTGGCTCTCCCACATCCTTCTCAGGTTTGTGTTTGACAGAACATTCCTTTGGGAGAAGTCATGTGCAGCTCTTACTGTGTTTACGGCAGGAGTCTGCTCATGACACCGCCCACTGCATTGTTCAGTAATGCCTTAGGCTGTCAGCCACTGATGCTCAGAGGCCAGTATAAGCGGTTTCTTTTTACTTTAAGCAGCTCCCTAGTGGCTCAGATGAAAAGAGTCTGCGTGCAATGCAGGAGACCCAGGTTCAATTCCTGGGTCAAGATCCCCTGGAGAAGGGAATATCAACCCACTCTAGTATTCTTCAGGCAGAGGACCCTGATAGCCTACAGTCCCTGGGATCTCAAAGAGTTGGACACAACAGAGAGACTAAACACTTTTCACTTTCACTTTTATACTTAAATGTTGACAGAAGATTCTATGTATCCTAATAAATTAACATAGTGTTTTTGTCTGATATGCAAATGAAAATTTGAAACTAATTACGTTTCTACCTTGATTTTCAGGGATTACAGAGCCAAATTTGTGTCTTAGTTTTATCAGTCACTATGTCTTTTGTTAATATATACTCCTAATACTCAAAATATATTTTTTAATTCTTAGTTCCTAGTTCTTTTTTCTTTTAAAAATTTATTTTCTCCTCTCTTCCTTCCTTCCTTTTCTCCCTCCTTGCTTTCTTTCTTTAATTTGAATATATGTTATATTTTCTTTTAAGCTCCCTCAAATCTTTCTGTCAAATTGGAAATGGTAACCCTCCTCCTGAGGAGTTTTTGTTTTACTTGCCAGTAAGTGATTCAGGATTTTTACTTGAGCTAGACTGCTATCATTCTGTCCTGTTGTTTGGCAGCTGGCTGACATTAAGAATTGTATGTTCTTGGGCCGCTTAAGTGAGAAAGGATGTTATTCTTGGAGACAACGGAAACCTGTGGAATGTCCTTTAAAAGTTTTTTGGCATATGCTGGTGCCTTTGCCTTTTTTTATTCAGTGTTAAGTGGAATCAGAGACAAAGAGGAGAAGAGCTGATCATAGTAAACCATCATGGTAGAAACCCAAAGTTTCATTATCCAAATAAACTGTAAGAATCTGCTCTTCTTAAGCAGACAAATATGAAATGTAGAATGATGATAGCAAATGGTTTGCTGTGGATTCTAAATCCACACAGAGGGTGTTCCTCAACATGTCCCTGAATTCCCAATATAGGGACACTTGTGTTGCCCATTATATTTAGCTTGATAGAGGAAAGCAGTGGGCTATATCTTGCCATCATACATGGTCATGAAGGGCCACTTTCTTAACTTTTATCAGTACTGGAACTGAAAGAAGTGATGTCTAGAGGATAATTTGGCTGTGTTCTAGATGTCATAGTGTTGAGGAGGCAGACTAGACGAGAGCTACGTCTGAGGACACTTGCTGGCTCTCCCACATCCTTCTCAGGTTTGTGTTTGACAGAACATTCCTTTGGGAGAAGTCATGTGCAGCTCTTACTGTGTTTACGGCAGGAGTCTGCTCATGACACCGCCCACTGCATTGTTCAGTAATGCCTTAGGCTGTCAGCCACTGATGCTCAGAGGCCAGTATTAGCGGTTTCTTTTTACTTTAAGCAGCTCCCTAGTGGCTCAGATGAAAAGAGTCTGCGTGCAATGCAGGAGACCCAGGTTCAATTCCTGGGTCAAGATCCCCTGGAGAAGGGAATATCAACCCACTCTAGTATTCTTCAGGCAGAGGACCCCGATAGCCTACAGTCCCTGGGATCTCAAAGAGTTGGACACAACAGAGAGACTAAACACTTTTCACTTTCACTTTTATACTTAAATGTTGACAGAAGATTCTATGTATCCTAATAAATTGACATACTGTTTTTGTCTGATATGCAAATGAAAATTTGAAACTAATTACGTTTCTACCTTGATTTTCAGGGATTACAGAGCCAAATTTGTGTCTTAGTTTTATCAGTCACTATGTCTTTTGTTAATATATACTCCTAATACTCAAAATATATTTTTTAATTCTTAGTTCCTAGTTCTTTTTTCTTTTAAAAATTTATTTTCTCCTCTCTTCCTTCCTTCCTTTTCTCCCTCCTTGCTTTCTTTCTTTAATTTGAATATATGTTATATTTTCTTTTAAGCTCCCTCAAATCTTTCTGTCAAATTAAGAGATAAATGTAAAATTAAATATTAGCTATTTTTTAAATTTTACTTTAACACAAGCCATAATGTCAAAATATATGCCATCAATACAGTGTAAATTACCTTCTCAATTTCCTTAGAATCAGATTATCAATTATTTTCCCAGAATTCAGATCATACAAAATCTAATATCATTTTTCCAATCAAAGAAACATATTCCTTTTTTTCTTATCTGAGAAAAATGTCATTTTTATCAACAAATACAACTGTTCTTATTGTAGCTACCAAGTATAATCATCTGACGTTTTTGCCTCTATCAAAAGGGACAGCCTGAAGGAATTAGAAGTTCAAATACTTACACACTGACAGATGTGAAACGCAATGCAACAGGAGACTATAAATGCTCCCTGGTAGACAAAAAAAGCATGATTGCTTCAGCAGCCATCACAGTTCACTGTAAGTCAATTTATTCTTCTTTACTAACTTCACTTGAAAGGCCTTTTCTCATAGTCTAACTCTGCTGTCTTTTCAAATAAATTGCCCTCTATTTTTCTTAAATAATGTGATTTCAATAGATGTACTAGAGACCATCAGAGTGAACCTAAATTAGGTCCTGCCATTACAGTGGTAACATCTGCACATCTGATGTTACCCTTTGCCCTACAATATTAGATTTGCCCTACAGTGTTAAAATCTTGAACGGATCTAATAATTGTAACTGTTGGGAGTGATAAACCTCTGTCTTCTATCTAAATGTCTTCAATTTGTGGTATTAACAAAATATTCATGTGCATCTTTTTTGTAATATTCTTTGGCGTTGCTCTCTTTGGGATTGGAATGAAAACTGACCTTTTCCAGTCCTGTGGCCACTACTGAGCTTTCCAAATTTGCTGACATGTTGAGTGCAGCACTTTCATAGCATCATCTTTTAGGATTTGAAACAGCTCAACTGGAATTCCATCACCTCCACTAGCTTTGTTCATAGTGATGCTTCCTAAGGCCCACTTGACCTTGCACTCCAGGATGTCTAGCTCTAGATGAATGATCACACCATCATGGTTATCTGGGTCATTTATTATGTAGTTCTTGTGTGTATTCTTGCCATCTCTTCTTAATATCTTCTGCTTCTGTTGAATCTATGCTGTTTCTGTCCTTTATTGTGCCTATCTTTGCATGAAATTTTCCNTTTCTTGGACTACAAATCACCTCAGATGGTGACTGCAGCCATGAAATTAAAAGATGCTGGCTCCTTGGAAGAAAAGCTTTGACAAACCTAGACAGCCTGCTAAAAAGCAGAAACGTTACTTTGCAGACAAAGGTCTGTATAGTCAAAGCTATAGTTTTTCCAGTAGTCATATATGGATGTGAGAGTTGGACCATAAAAATGGCTGAGTGCCAAAGAATTGATTCTTTTGAATTGGGTTGCTTAAGAAGACTCTTGAGAGTCCCTTGGACTGCAAGGAGATCCAATCAGTCAAACCTAAAAGAAATCAACCCTGAATATTCATTGGAAGGACCAATGCTGAAGCTGAAGTTGCAATACTTTGGCCACCTGATGCAAAGATCCAACTCACTGGAAAAGACCCTGATGCTGGGAAAGATTGAAAGCAAAAGAAGGGTGCAGCAGAGCATGAGATGTTTAGATAGCATCACAACTCAATGGACATGAATCTGAGCAAACTCTGGGAGATGGTGAAGGACAGGGGAGCCTAGCATGCTGTAGTCCATGGGGTCGCAAAGAGTCAGATACAACTTATCAACTAAACAATAACAACAACACATACAGCTTAAAGTAACAAATTGTTTTACATTTTAAGAAAATATTAGAGTATTCTTGAAGTTTAAAAGGTTTTCATTTGGCCTATAAAAGTATAGATTAAGTATCTTTTAATTTACAGAGTACTCTTAATCCCTCAACCCAAGCAACACAAAGGTGAATAGACTCAACTTTGGAAGAGGAGGTAAGATACCACCAAGAGTTTTTTAATGGTCTCTGTACAGAAGGACAGAAATTTTCTGGAAACATAACCAAAATCACCCTAAACATATTTTTTAACTCCTTTTTATATTCCAGGTGCTCCCAAAGTTACATGTATTCCAGTAGATTGAAACTAATAAATATATATAGAAAATAGACCTTTATTTCAATTCTTTTTTTTTGTAATTCCTGACTGTCTATACTACTGCTGTACCCAGTGCATTGTAGAAATGGGAAACTAATTTGAACTTCTCCCTGGTGACACTAGAATTCACAGCGTTCTTTGGGCAAATGTCAGTTTTGCTTGGAGATATAGATCAAAATTTTTAAGAAGTCCTTTGTACCCAACAACACCTCTAGCTGTGATCCATTACAGTAAGGTTTCTCTAGACATGATTCATTACAATCCCATTCATTATGAGTATTTCTTTGTTTCAAAATGGAAAGAGATGTTAGAAACTGTTCTGAGAAAATGTTTCTAAATCTTTCACTTTACCCATAATGCTTGGGAAACATGTAGGAGAGGAGTTAAAACTCTGAAGGAGATGTAAGGCAGTACTCTGGGGAATAGAGGAACCAGACGGTTGCTTTTGAGTCTCATGTTGGGCGCACACCCTGGAGAGCACGGTGGTGACGGTTGAATATTAAGATTCACAACCAAGCTACTTCTCTGTTTGTTCATTTTCATGTTGAACAGATCAGAGTGTGTCTGGCATCGGGGGCAAGTTAGAAAGCAGCAACTTTTCACGATAACAACTGTGCTACTTTTTCTCTGAAAAGTATTCTGTCCTGGGATCATTTATCCAGTTTGCTCCATAGGGAAAAAGAAATGAAGTGAGGGAATATAACCAGTAGATAGAATTGCCTGTGGAATAACTTTCTGTAATCATTGCTCATGAGATCTTTGGACCAGTAACCAATAATCCAGTGCTTAGAGATGGTACAGTGTGGTTATGTTTAAGAGATACTAGCTACTCAGAACCTAAAGAAAGAGAACTCTCATTTTATCACCTGGATATCAAGCAGAAAGGGAGAGAGAGCAGAAGGATTAGGCAAAAGGCTTGGCTGCAGCTGCATAATAACTCAGTGGTCAGCCGTGGTTTAAAACAAACAAACAAAAAAAGCATGCAACAGTTTAATTGAATTTCAGTGCAATTTAATTAGATTTGATTTAAATACATTTAGGTTTTGAAAGGTAGCCTCTAACACTGGGCTTTAAAGCCTATATTGCTCTTTAAAAGCTAAAGTAGTGAAGAAAGTGAAAGTCGCTCAGTCCTGTCGACTCTTTGGTACCCCATAGGCTATCCAGTCCATGGAATTGTCCAGCCTAGAATACTGGAGTGGGTAGCCATTCCCTTCTCCAGGGGATCTTCCCAACCCAGGATCGAACCCGGGTCTCCTGCATTGCAGGCAGATTCTTTACCAGCTGAGCCACCAGGGGAGCCCAAGAATACTAGAGTGGGTAGCCTATCTGTCCTCCAGGGAATTCTCCCAGGGTCTCCTGCATTGCAGGTGGATTCTTTACTAGCTGAGCTACCAACATTGCAAGTAAATAAAGATTTTACTCTAAATTACATGAAATGACCCGTGGAAAAGGAAACGGCAACCCACTCCAGTATTCTTGCCTGGAAAATCCCACGGACAGAGGAGCCTGGAGGGCTACAGTCTATGGTGTCGCAAAGAGTCGGACACAACTGAGCGATTAACACTTTCACTTTCACATGAAATGAAAACATGAAAATCCTATTTTAGCCTACTTATCCTAAATTGTTTCCAAAAGAGCAAGATCTGTTTTCTTTTCATAGATGACTAAAGGGAGCGGATAGAGAAGTGCCTGCCAGCACTTGCGCATGATAGCAGAACAGACCTCTCATCAGGCTTTCAGTTCACAGAATCATAGTTGCTGAAGTACTAGTCCTCTCCCGATTCATTCACACATAGATTCTTCATCTGAGCTTTCAAAGTCCATCATCATTCTTTAAAATAACTTCTTCTGTCTTCTCCCTGGCAAGTTATCTGTCCAACTGATAAAAGCTTTAACTCGACCTGAATTGAATTTTCATCTAAATATAACTCAACAAAACAGTCTGAGGAAACTCCTTTTCTATGTGATGATGTATATTTTTATATTAATGAGAAATTGAGAAACATGCTTCTTCACTTCATTCAACAAGAGTTTTTGAAGGCCTACAATGTGGCAGGCACTGTGGATACAGAGTGACAACTCAGGGCATGGTCCCTACCCTCATGATGCTTATAACCTAGTAGGTGAAACAAGTATTAAAAATAATGTTGCAAACAATCAACAAATTGTGATTATAACATGAAAAACCAACGGGAAGGACAAGGTGGGCAAATCCCCACTGCCATAGGATAGAGTCCCAGGCAGCCTCCAAGGTGGTGCTAGTGGTAAAGAACATGGCTGCCAGTGCAGGAGACTTAAGAGACGTGGGTTCAGGCCCGGGTAGGGAAGATTCCTTGGAGGAGGGCATGGCCACCCACTCCAGTATTCTGGCCTGGAGAATCCCATGGACACAGGAGGAGCCTAGCTGGCTATAGTCCATAGTGTCGCACAGAGTTGAACACAACTGAAGCAACTTAGCACATACACTCACAGTGACTCTAATAATGTCTAATAAGCTTTGTCATCTCTGAATGTTGATTGAACTAATGAATGAATACATCTAAATCACCAAATGAAATGGACTTCCCTGGTGGCTCAGATGGTAAAGAATCCACCTGCAATGCAGGAGACCAGAGTTCAATCCCTGGGTAGGGAAGAACCCTTGGAGAAGGGAATGGCTACCCAGTCCATAATTCTTGCCTGAAGAATTCCAAAGACAGAGGAGCCTAGCAGGTTACAGTTCATGGGGTTGCAAAGACTAGCACTTTCACTTCACTTAGTATGGCAGGCATAGTCCTTCATAAGTGAAGTGAGTGAAGTCGCTCAGTTGTATCCGACTCTTTGCGACCCCATGGACTGTAGCCTACCAGGTTCCTCCATCCATGGGATTTTCCAGGCAAGAGGACTAGAGTGGATTGCCATTTCCTTCTCCTGGCTAGCCTAAATTACTTGTATAGGTTTATCTTCCATGTGTTTTAACCATTGATACTATTTTACTCACCCTTGTGAAATCCATCACCCTCTCTCACCTCTTTGCCTTTGCTTATGTGGCAGAAGTTTTACCAACATTTCCACTTATCAAAGTCCTTCTCAACCATCAGGGGCCACAAACAGATATCACCTCCCATACAAAGCCTTCATTATTGCCTTGAAACCCAGCTTGGTTCTGTTCTCCACTCTCCTGTAAGTCTTTGCTTGTACCTCTGTCTGTAGCCTTTACTCTAGTTTTTCAGCAACTATTTCCTGAGCTCCTAATCTATAGCACATTTACCGTTAAGTGCCGATGTCATGCTGCTGTGTAGTATCGTCACATACTTGAGTGCATATTACCTCTACCTCAAACTGTGAATTGTAAGCTCATTATTCATCTCAGTATCTCCTGTCAGTGCCTGGAACCTAGTACAATAAAGGTT